GTATTCTCTCTTTTCGGCTTTGGGGTTTAGTGTGTAAGGCACTTTTCGGGTTTAAGGGAATCTTTTCCTCCCTCTCGCCTTCAGACTCAGGCAGACGTACAAACGTCTCACTGAACCATTGAAAGCTGAGCGAACCGCTCAGTACTGACCCTCCTTCCCGTGAACCATTCAATACTAAACCCCCCCTTCTCGAGAATATCAATTTGCTTGCAACTCTGAGGGGTTGTCCGACTCAAAGTAGAACTTAAGCCTAGCTACTCCAGCTTGAGAATGACTTGAAAATGGACGGTGTCCGAAGAGGCTACTGAGCTACTCTTGCTCACCACCGATTGCGGAGCTCTGCCAGAACCAGAGTACTAGCCTCCCGACCATACTAATCCACTACAGCCACCCACAGCTGGTACATTGCTGGCTCCTGCCTCGAGCTTTCACATTCGGCCCCTGCCAAGTTTTTCAAACTCTATCCGACTTTCCCACAACTGGGTGGGCATGGGCACTGACAGATTGAACATCTTTGAGCAGCACCCTGCTCCAAGTCTCTCATCCTTCTACCTTGCCTCCTCAACCGAGCCATCGCGCGCCACTTCTTGTCGGCCTTCGTGTTCAGAGTGCTGGGTCGAGTCAAAAAAAAGCAGCTTCCCTAGACTGCCGTCATCAGACTCCCTTCACAGTCCCTTCACTACACCACTTCGCTACTGGCACTCTGGACAAGACTGGGCTTCAAGCCGGCACGGCAAAGGTCCTTCCACGCCTCAAGCTGGCACGGGTTGACGCTGCATGTCACTGGACTTCCCGGCTACGGCGCCAAAGCAGCGCCCCATCTGCCAGCATCACCGCCGCAGTGTGGCTGGGAGCCGGGCAAGCAGTTCGGCGGAGGCTTCACCAACATTTTCCTGTGGGCCAACATTGCACTTCACTCCGTGCTCGATGCAAGCTGAGGTTACTGCGAAGGCCTCGGACTCAGCCATGTTCAGGCTGCAGGGGATGTGCAGCGCATTTACAGCACGGGTGTGGGGCTACTTGCCCAATCCCTCATTGAGCCTTTCGCAAGGAAACGCATCGAACCACTCCGCACTGAGAACGCACGCCGACACCGTCGACAACTCTCGATCCTGCTGGGATGTGCTCTTTTGAACCAAAGAGCTGGAGCCGTCTGCCAGTGTTGCAGCTGCAGCAACAACAGAGGCCACATGAGTGCTGCAAGATCTTCGGTTCGTATCCCACCCACTGCACCCACCCACGAAACATCACAAACGTGATTCGAAACTACTCACGGCTAAGAACATTGCACATCCTGCGCTGGTCTCTGCTGAAATCCAGCACCACATGCTTTCAAAAGTTTTGCCGCAGCACAGCAGTGCCATGGAAATTCTCTTCCCTCCAAGCGACTGTAGTCATGCAATCTTTTTACGATGATTACTATTATTCTATTATTACTATAAGTATTAGGTATAATTACTAGTAGTCTTATTACTATGACTTTTATTACTACTATCATGATTACTATGAGTACTATTATTTCTTAGCCAACCCTCGGACAGCGACTCCATGATCGGAACTTCCAACCACAAGTTTTGGACATTCCGAGTGAGACAGGCCACAGCATGGAACATATGCGGGAATGGCTGCATACATGCCACTAACATGATGCCACACAAGTTCATGATTCTCTGTCTGACACGACTTCTCATCGGACAGCCACTGGGCAAGTCAAGCAGTCAACTTGCACAGCGACGGCCGAATAAATAGCAGCTATAGGTCCATCTAAGGTCCGCTCTCTCAGAGCTTCACCCAGTTCAGTAACACGCAACATAATCAACATGTAATTTAGTAATGATATCTTCTTGACAAGAACCGTCACCAGTATTGTGTCATATTGTGTCAATTAAGTCACATGTTCTACGCGCGCATGCCTCCGCGGAAGAGGGAGCTCCGTACGAACTCTCGCAACTTCTCCATCATGAGACATGCAATCGTCCACGGCCTCTGTTGAACGGAGGCCAGGTGTTCAGTTGACTATACGACTATCCTGCCACTCAGGATAACCAAGCTCAAGAAGGCTCTCCTCCCTCAAGCAAGCCTGGCTGAATGGCATCTTCGCTTGCATCGAAGTCTTGGAAGACCCTCGTAGGGAAAACTGCCGTGGTGCACAACAGTGGTGTGTTTTACAATCAAAGTAATGATTTTCGAACAGCACTGGTTAGGAAGCTTAGGAAGCTACTTCTGCAGCTCAGCTGCGAGGGAATTACATGCTCCCCGGCCTTCTCCATCAGTACTGGATGTACAACTCACTGCAATGCAGATTGGTTGCGGCTTCCCTGCACACGCTCAGTTTTGATGCCAGATGATCAAGCTGCCCGCAGAAGCTAAGGAACAGGGGGCAGCAGCAACCGTACACAAGCAGGAGGTCTTCATCTTTTCTCACAAGTTTCACATCGTCCGGGAAACTCCCAGAAGGCAGGCTCACCCCTTGTATCTTGGTTACTGATTGGGATGTTCCCCCTACTAAATCCCAGGGGTGGATTTCGGGGGTCGCTGAAAGTTTCAAAATGCCTCAAAGTTGAGTTGCTGAAGTGCTGGGACATGGTCAAGCCACGCGGGGGCCTTCACAGCATAAAGCCAACCTGTGAGGCGATGCACTGCTGCGGCGAAAGGGCCTGCCGCGATGTGCCGGAATCAGCGAACTCTTTCAGGGACTCGACCCAAAACTACAAAGCTAGGGATCCTTTGGTTGATCTAAAGCAAACCTGTTTTTTTGTCTTTTAACAACCCGATGGCCTTGCTTCTGTCGGCCCAGCAGCAGATGCCCACACCCAAGCCTCGGGACAGACTGCTAACAGTGGGAAGGAGGTTATACTGAGAAGCTCCTGGCTGAGACCAGCTGTGGCTACTAGCATGAAATGCAAGGTCAGGGTACGCGTATGCACGCGTCACGGAAAGGCTAGCTCCTGAAGGCTGCATCCCCTCAGAAAGCTCCTTGTCACCTGCATTTGCTTGGGTTCACTAGGGAGAGTCACCTCATGGTCACGGCGTCTGTCTCCTTGCAACCCGTCCCTGCCGAGGTCAGGGCCGAAGCTGGACAAAAACCTGCAGGGGCAGAGTGGGCTTGACGACCCTAAACCCTAAACCCTAAATCCTAAACCCTAAACCCTAAACCCTATACCCATTGGTTCATTGGTTCATTGCTCTCGGCGCCTGATGTCATCGAACAGGCCGCAAGGTGACTCGGATCCCTCGGCAGACAGCGGCTGGTAGCCTCAGCTCAAAGGACTTGGGCTTTCAACTTGGCTTTCAGGCTGCCTTGGTAGCCACCTAACCTTGGCCCCAAGCCCAAGCTGCACACGAGACCGAAGAGGGCACCGGCCATGGCCACGGCAAGGAAGACGCGACCCAGAAGGACCTCAGCCGCGCCCAGTCCGCGCCCTGTGCCCGACGCCGGCCAATCGTCGCCAGACAGCTGGGGCACGGGCCACCAGCATGTCCTTCACGCAACCACAGGCACATTGTATTCACTGTGAATAACTCTCTCTGCCAGACGGCTGACCGCAGGGCTGCTTGGTGCTTCTTGCAGCCAGAGCACATATGCTGGCAACATGGCTGGCCAAAGCAGGTCAAATGCTCAGAAAAAACTGCAGCGTCCTCTTGTCTTGCAATCAACCACCTCTAGGACTCGCTATGACATCCACAGGTCTTTGCACTGAAAAATCACTGAAATAAGCTGGAGCTGGATGCTCCACAGGGACGTTCTGCAGAAGCTACGCCAGGTCGGAGTTTTACGTCCAACCAGTGGCAGCTGCAATAAGCTGCAATTGGTTGCCTGCAGGCGTGGCGCAGTGAGATTTCTGGGCCTGCCTGTGGCAAATTTCTTGGTCTGATCCTGGCCGCAAGAGTCTTTCGGCCTCGAGCCTTCGGTAAGGCAGATCGTCACAGGTCGTATTGCACAGGAGGCTTCCTACACGTCATGATCGTGGTTCCTGCGCGTGACCATAACCCATTTCGTGAGAGAATCGCCATCTAAACGATGGCACACCAGCTCTTTCTTCCAGCTTCTTCTTATCTCCACTTGCAGCTCCCACACAGACTTCTGTAGATTCTGTGAGACCGGCATCATCCGTTCAGTGTCGTGGGGAGCTTCTGGCATCTGAGATCACCCCCTGCACCGGTCATGAAGAGCCTCGGCACATCTTAAGCTGCCGATGCGATTACAAAATTCTATAACATTAGAGTGCAAAGGCATGCGGTCGCACAGCTCGGGCTGAGGCTCGGACGAAATCTGCGTCAGCAGCCCTTCGTCAGTGAAGTGGCTGGACCTCGCCAGCTGGGAGGCACGGCAAAGGTTTTGTGGTGGCTCCCCTAAACCCTAGACCCTGAGCCCTAAACCCTGCTGTAAACCCGCACCCCTAAACCCCGATGACAACACCCCGGTCTCCAAAGATACCCCAGGCCAAAAGGTGTCCAGCCTCAGGGATCGAACCTTGGCCTGTCGAGCAGAAAACTCTCGGGCTTCCCCACTATATACATATATATATATATATATATATCTATCTATCTATCTATATACATACATACATACATACATACATACATACATACATACATACATACATACATACATACATACATACATACATACATACATACATACATACATACATACATACATACATACATAGCATATATATATATATATATATATGTGTGTGTGTGTATATATGGCCTATATATGTATCTGTATATGTATATGTATATGTATATTTATACGTATATGCATACGTATGTATATATATATATGTATATATATATATATATGTACCGTTTGCTGTGGTGCCTCCATGCTCTCAAGCGCCTCCATGCTCATGCCTAGGGCAGGCGCGCCATGTCTGGACTCAACTTGAGGTCCAAGAACTCAGGATAAGGCTGTTCACCGTGTTCATGACCTCCGGCAGCCCCTTGACGTCAGTTGAGAAGCCGATGCTGCCGAAAAGATCTGACAATTTATGTCAAAGCTCCGGCTCATACAGCGCAGTCTGGAACTTTATCTGTACCAGATGTGGCCTGCGTAGGGTATCCAAGGGATGTCGAGGTAAACCTGCATGAAAGGTTTGGGAGGAAGCTTGAGCATTAAGTTTTGGCTGCAGAATGCTACAATGATATCTGTCTCCAATTAAGCTTCGAGCATGGATCGGGATAAGCCCAAGCCTTTGCAGCACGATGAGCGTCTATGTGGACTTTTGCACGAACGTGAAGCTCTACAAATGTGGTGTGCAACGGGGTGGAATGCCTGGATCAGGCCTCTCATATGAAAGGAAGCGTGCTCGACAGTCTTCACGTTCTGGGTGTGCGTGCGTGTGTGTGTGTGCCACCAGGCCACTGCAATATTTCGAAGAGGTGGAACGCGGTCCGTCCATAGCCGCGTGGGCAGAGGCTCACCTTCGCATCAGGCCACATCAGGACTGAAAAGCCCCCTCAGAGGCGAAGCGAAACAAGCTCGGTGGATTTGGCCTTCGAGTTGCCCGCTACTTGATGCCACTCGTCCGCACTTCCGAAGCCTGTTCTCACCTGCAAGCCAAGGCTTGGGCGCATGATCCGATGAAATTCTATTCTCAAGCTGCAGCCTTCACGCCCATGCGGTCTGCTTCCTTGTTCACCAGCTTGATCATCTTCTTTCGCATGTCCTTGCAAGGCGATTGCCCTTGAGCCACGATGCATCGCACCGATCGAACTCCGATTTCAAAGACCCATTCCTTGGGCGCATTCGTGTCCGAACCTGAGCATACCGCACGGGGGGGGGGGGAAGATATTCCGGCGAAACTAAAAAAAACAGATTTTTGAGTGATTGGCCCATGTAGGATGTAAGCAGCTCCCGGCTGGCCATCTTCTTGAAGAAGCGCTTGCAGAGAGGCTCCTGGCAAAGCCGGGAGCTCTGCCACCTATGCTGTCATGATGACTTCATCAAAGAAGACAGTGCAAAGCATCAGCTTGCAGTCTTAGAATGTCTTACAGGAAGTGGCTTTCACCCTCCTCAGGCTGCTTGAAAAGCGGAATTGGCACGTGCCCGTAGCCACCGGCGCTCAGCACCAAGACCTGAGGGCCACGAACAGCCTACAGCCAAGCCTGCACTGTTGTCTGCTTTCACAGACCTTGCGAAACTGATCATCGGAGCCACCAGCCTTGCTTGCAACTTGCGAAACATCGGCAAGGGCGTGGCATTGGGTATCTCCTTCATGAGGTTGACAATCTTGTCCTCATTTCACACAGCCCCCACAAGCCCTAGCATGCCCTGTGAGGCACTCCTACATTCAAGAACACATGCTAGGCGAACGATGCGGCAGCTAAAGGCACTCAAAAGCACAAAAGCATGCGCCTCGTCATTGCAACCAGCTGGAGTTGGACTCCCGAACAAACCATCGGTGGCTTGACCAGACCATGGTGCAATCGAGGAGCTCGGCTGGACACCATGCCAGTGTCATGTTGCACAACAGTGATGTAGGCGACGCCGGGCCTCACAGTTTGCAGTGCAGAGCTGTGCCGACACGACGTGTCCCCCTCCCTCTGCCTCTACGTAGCAGCAATGATCCATGTGGGGGGTTTACGAAAATCAGGGACCCCCAAAATAAACCCCTAACTAACAGTAGGATTCCCTGCCAAGAAGGACCCCCCCCAATCAGCTTCCCCCCAAATTTCGGAAACCCCCATATGAAGCCGGGTATATATTTCTTGTACCCCCAAAAGGACACCAAATATGTACACTCACCAATATTAGAAAGGAACCTTATATACACTCACCAAAAAACATAAATAATATGCCCTGTGTCACATGTCGAGCCTGATGACCTCCTTCAGCTTTGCTATCATCGCTTCCTGGTCAGGTACTTGCCGAAACCCTAAACCCTAAACCCTAGACCCTAAACCCCCATGGTGAACCCCTGCTCCCTTGATGGGGCCCTTCAGGTTTGAGGCCCTACGCATACACAACTTTGGTACAACTGCTTGGCAATGTCCCCTAAACCCTAAACCCTGAACCCTGAACCCTAAACCCTAAACCCTAAATCCACCCGCCGTGCTTTATGTGCCTGGCGGCGATCGGCTATCTGTCACATCTTCGATGCCCGGCTCACACGCAGACGAGACTCATATTCAAAGACATTGGCGACCCACAAGTCCACGTAGGTCATGAAGATCGGAATGTACGGCCTAAGACTCTAGATATGAGCTGCACCGATGCTCACATGACAGCGAAACACTCTGGACTACTGCGGATCAAAGAGATGGTTTTGCTGTGGCCACAAGACTTAGTCGGCGAGTCTGAATGGTGTGCAACCGTAAACTGCTCCTAGTTTCTGTCTTTCCTGTGGCAGTCTCAACAGTCTTGCACATCGGCAGCAAAGCTCTGCACACTGCACATCTTTATAATGGGACAAGCTGCCCGAACATGTCAGCGAGGTGCACGCCAGGCTGCCGCTTATCCCATCCTAGGGCAACTTGAAGACACGAGAGCATGTAAAGCCACCGCGCCTTCATTCACAGGGAGCAGATGGCGCTGTGTCCGTGCCGCCGTGCCTTCCAGAAAGTGCGAAATCCACCGGTTTTCGATCCATGGCCCGCAATAGCCTTCGCCGCCTTGCAATCAAACTTTTCGCAGACGCACCAGCGGAACAGTCAAAGACTCACAGCTTTCAGTTGCTCAGCGAAGCACAATGGTACGGATTCTTCATGTCTGCCATGAACTTCTTCGCTGCGAAATCAAACCACTGGCTCAGCGCCTTGCACTCTTGACGATCGCGAAGCATTCAGCGTACGTGGAATGCGATGGATGTGTGGGCCGCATCGTGATTACACACATCGTATCATGCGGTCATACATGGGCATTTCCCAAAATAGGGGTACCCCTTTTATAACCCCCAAATAGTATAGAATCCCCCTACAGGGACCCCTTGAAAAGGGCACCCCCGATTTTCGGAAACAGGCTCCGCCCCTCCTGCCGGATCTCCTGGAAGTGAGACTCAGCGTCGCTGGGGTATCGAAGCTCTTGCAGTGCAGGCGTGGTTCGCCGCAGGCATTCAAGCCTCGGGTGGTTGGGGCATTCGTGCTGCTTCACTGCTTCTAAGGTGATACCGTGGCTGTGGGTAGGGGCATCTGCTTCCTGATCGGCATCCGCTGGATCCTCTAGTCTCTTCTAGTCCAGCAGAGAAGGGCTTGGAGATTGGGCTGGCAAGGTGTTCTTATCTTCAATTCGCTGTGACATGTTGCGACCCGCATCTCTCCCCAACACGCGGGCGTCACCTAAAATGTTCGCCTGCGCTGATCAGACGAATGCAGTCCTACAAGCTAGCTACTGGGCAAAGCGCGTAAACAAAGCTGCGCAGTCTGTATTGGCACCCACGCCGTCCCTGCATCAGTCTACGTCCAAGTGGCACTGGCGACATGTCTGCAGTAGAAGTCCCAGACGGCGCAGGCAGAGATGATTCTGCGGGGTAGGTATTTGCTACCTGCACATGTTCATCCACCAATCAAAGACAACCCTCAAATTAAGTAGCTTCTTCTACAGGCCTCTTCCGACATATGAAGACCCGTCAAAGGAAATTTAAGTTAAAGCTTCAGCTAAGGTGCGTGGGCGCAACCTCCACGCAAAGACCATGCCCCCCACAAGCCAGCTTTCTCCAGCTTTGCAATCTTGTCGTTATTCGCAGCGTAGTTGGCATGGTACGTAACACGCTCTGGCGGTGGCACCTCCCACCCGGTGGGGTGCATGAAGGCGTCCATGGAGCAATACTGCAGCGTGTCTTCATCTGGTGCTTGGCAAGTCGGGCTCTGATTGCAGAGTTTAACACATCTGAAGCCTCCCGGACCTGCCTTGCCGCCGGTAGCCCGCAGAAGTTGCATCACTTGCCAAAATATCGGCTGGTCCGCCCCCAGGCGTTCCCCGTGCTTTCGGAAAGACTCTTCCCGCTGCCGATCGACCTCAGCCACGACAGCACCGAAAAATGCCACCATCTTTTGGTTTCGGCGAGGGGTCGCGTAGAAGAAGCCCGTGTTGCCCCCGTCGCCCGGCACGACGTGGCCTTTGTCAGGCGCTTTGGCAAGCTCCTCCTGGTAGACGTAGTCGTACTTCTCAGAGCGTATCAAATCTCCGAGATGCACCCCCCGTGCAAAAGGATCACCACGAAACATGTTGTCTGCATCGGTGAACACGACTCCATATCCTGAAACTCTCATGATCGTGAGCACCATGAACATCTTGTTCCTGCCCACGCTGTCTAGCTTCGCGCTTCCCCAGCCGTTCATTCCACTGACCTTCTCGCCGATGGCCAGCAGGGCTCTGTCCGCGCCCAGCTTCTCAAAAGCTTCCTCATCGTTGGCAACCACGGCCCAGTCTAAGCCATGTCTTTCCGCGTTGCATCGCCAGTTCTGGTAGATTGCAAAGTATGCATAGTTGGCCGCCGTGAGCAGCAAAACGTTGGCGAACTCGGGGTGCGCCCCCTTGTCCGCGTACACGCCCGCGCGCTTCTGCACCACTTCCAAGACACGACCTTCATCATTTGCGCTCACTTGCATTAAGTCATTGGCCGGGTTCTTGTCAGTGCCTAGGCTGACAAGGCTGCAGCATGCGATGCAAAATCAGAAGAGCTGGTCAGGGTAATGACCCATTTCTTGGGGTGGAGGGACGGAGGGGTCAATGGCTGCCTTTCCTTACATTGCAGAAGCAAGCACCACAAACTGTGAGGGTTTAAAGCCTGAGGCAGGTGGCAGGATTTCGTAGTCTGCGACCATGCATCCCAGACACCTGCCTTTTGCAGTTTCGCAATTTTTGCCTCATTGGCAGCGTAGTTTGCGTGATACGTTACCAGCGTCTTCGGTGGCTCGTCCCAGCCTGTTGGATGCACAAAAGGATCCATGGAGCAATAGTCCAGAGTCTCTTCGGGCTGGGCGACACAGGTTGGATTGTGCTTGCACAGTCGGACGCATTTGAATCCACCTGGCCCGAAGTGGCCACCAGTGCTTCGCAGCTTCTGGATAACCTGCCAAAAGATTGGCTGATCAGCGCCAAGGCGTTCACCACTTCGCTTAAAGGCCTCCTCCCGTTGACGGTCCACCTCAGCCACCACATCCTCGAACAGGGACACAACTTTGGCTTTTCGGTGCGGGGTCGCGTAGAAGAAGCCCGTGTTGCCCCCGTCGCCCGGCACGACGTGGCCTTTGTCAGGCGCTTTGGCAAGCTCCTCCTGGTAGACGTAGTCGTACTTCTCAGAGCGTATCAAATCTCCGAGATGCACCCCTCGTGCAAAAGGATCACCACGAAACATGTTGTCTGCATCGGTGAACACGACTCCATATCCTGAAACTCTCATGATCGTGAGCACCATGAACATCTTGTTCCTGCCCACGCTGTCTAGCTTCGCGCTTCCCCAGCCGTTCATTCCACTGACCTTCTCGCCGATGGCCAGCAGGGCTCTGTCCGCGCCCAGCTTCTCAAAAGCTTCCTCATCGTTGGCAACCACGGCCCAGTCTAAGCCATGTCTTTCCGCGTTGCATCGCCAGTTCTGGTAGATTGCAAAGTATGCATAGTTGGCCGCCGTGAGCAGCAAAACGTTGGCGAACTCGGGGTGCGCCCCCTTGTCCGCGTACACGCCCGCGCGCTTCTGCACCACTTCCAAGACACGGCGTTCTTCGTCGGTTCGCCCAGAAGTGGATGCGTCCGTTGTCACCTGGGGGTTTCCGAACATAGGGGGGTTACAAATTTTGGGGGGGTCCCTATTTTAAGGGCATTCGAGGAAGAAGAGGGGTACCAACCCTATTTTGGGAAATGCCCAGACCTCGATCTTTGGAGGTGGCGATTGCGCGGCCGGTAAGGGGGAGGAAGCCGGCGCAGCCGGCGGCTCCGAAATCACTGGGGGATCTGGCGGCTGGGCAGGCCTTAGCCAGATGGGAACGCTTTGTTTATGGCTTGGGGTTTAGGGTTTGGGTGTTAGGGTTTAGGGGCCCTGCGCAACTGCGAGTCGCCAGGGGCCTCAAAAGTCTTGCACTTTCTCGGGTTGGCCTGGTGATCTCAGGCGCATGTCTTGCAGACTGACACGTCCTCACGACATACCCGACGTGTGGACTGATAGTAGAGCCCACGGCGACAAAAAACATCCAAAAGCCTATCATCGTGTCTTGGTTCATCGTCATCCCCATGCCTCCAGTATGCGGGAGCATGACGCGCTGGCGTCACTCTTCGCACTGCATGTCGACATCATGCCGACCGACATTCGCCAGCAAAAACACAGCAAAAGAAGCAGGCGCGCCCGAAAAAAACACATGAAATCACAAGAACCTACACATGGCTGCCAAATGCCACGAGGGCACTCCAGAAAAGCGTTGGACTGGACATTGCTCGGCTTTGCGTCAGGCTGAACAGCAATCGCGATCGGCTCCAGCTTTTGTAGGAAGTCTGCCTGCAGCGAGAGAATCATGAGAATACTCTGCTGCACAGGCACTTGAAGAGCACTGACCCTAAACCCTAAACCCTAAACCCTAAACCCTAAACCCTAAACCTTAAACCTTAAACCCTAAACCCTAAACCCTAAACCCTAAACCCTAAACTGCATTCGCTTTTTCGGCGCCAGACCCGAAACTGGCGCCTCACGGCTGGATTGCAGAAGCACGAGCAGCACCAGGGCAGAGATTCCCCCGAAAGCTGCCGGGCGTGCGCACCTCGGACGAAGCCATCAGGGTATTGATATTAAAAAAACAACTAATATTCATATTAGTATTCATATTCATACTAATATTAATATGAATATTAATATTAAGATTTAAGATTAAGATTAACTTTAATAGGGAAAGGACAGCGGGCTGCTTCCCTTTTCCTAGGCTGCTTGTAAGTCGGGCACCCAGAATCTGGCTTCCGTCGCCCCATGGGTCTCCGAATGCCATTTGGCTGCTAGCGTGCACAAAGTAGACAAGAAGATTATATCTTAAACAAAAATAGTCAGCACATCTCAACACTCCTACGGGGGCTTCCGAAACTAGGTGTACCTTCTTGAGGTCCTTATAAAGGAATCCTACTATTTGGGGGACTATACTGCAAGTAGGGGCTTTCCTTATTTTCGTAAAACCCCCCCTGTGAAAGAAGGCAACTTGAAGGAGCTCGGGACGAGTCTGAGTCTAGCGGTGGGTCAGCCTAGTGATGAATTACACAGAATCTTGACGAGCTCAGAAGCCACACACACACATACATACATACATACATGCATGCATGCATACATACATACATACATATATATATATATATCATATATATATATATATATATACATGTATCAGCGCTTGGATTCGCCCTTTAAAGGGACGTGCACAAACTCCGCAGGCACATTTCAGCATCTACGAGACCAGTAAATTTTAATCTCCCGGTAGTAGCTGTTGCAAGTGTCCGCATGGTTTCAGCGGCCACGAACCCTGACACTACGTGAAACAATCGGTCTGGGAAAATGAGCAGAATTGCTAGAATTGCTTGCCATGCAATACGGTCTCACGAAGTCTTGCTTCTTTGGCACTGATGTTCTGCTCAGCCCACACCAGGCACCATCAGCAAGAGCTCCGCTTATGGGAACGTCTTCTTGGTCATTACCACATAGAAGTCCTCAGCACAAGGACTAAAGAACCCTAAACCCTAAACCCAAAACCCTAAACCCTAAACCCTTCCCTGCGAGCACCCTTGGGTTGAACGGCTGAACATTGGCTATTTCGAGCCTCGGCCGTGATTTCGCCCTTGGACCTTGGAGCCAGAGCTGGAAATGAGAATTTGGGGATTTCCGAATATAGGGGGTTCCCCTGAGACCCCAAACTACTATATCGTCCTGTAAAGGAACCACCAAACGGCCCTGATATGCACCAAAATACTGGAGAGTCCTCTTAAAGGAACCCCCCAAACGGGTACCCCCTATCTTCGGAAACGCCCATTTCTTTGTCAGACTTGGTCACCAGCTCATCTTGACAGGCCCTCCGTACGATCTCCGTGATCTCCTGGCTCATAGTCAGTTGGGGGTTTACGATCTTAGGGGGTACCTTCTTGGGGTCCTTATTATAAGGGGATCCTACTCTTTGGGGATCTATGTTAGGGGTCCCCTTCTTTCGTAAACCCCCAGTTGGCATTTTCTCCAGAGACGCAGAGACGCCTTTGGCCACACGACCCTGGCGAGTGATGAACCATTGTTCTTTTTGCAGCCATCAAGCTTTACATGTTCCCCGTCTCCTCATTGGTCAGACGTTCTCCGAGCTCCTTGCAGACCTCGTGGCAGATGCAATGTCCAGGGAATGCACTGGCTGAATGATTTCGGCGACGCATTCATTCTTGGGCCTTCTGGACGTCCTTCACATCCTGGAGGGAGCAGTGTAATCCAGCTTACACTAGGGTTTTTAGGGTTTTTTAGGGTTTAGGGTTTAGGGTTTAGTGTATAGGGTTTAGCGTTTAGGGCTAGGGTTTGCCCCATCCCTCAGAACAACCGCACGAAGAGATGCATGGTTCACCATGCATGGCATGAATCGGCTTCAGCGCACGATGCACACAGAAAGAGGCATCCAATCCACCCTGCCTCTCAGGACTGCTTCTTATGCAATACAGCTAAGGCCGTCGCTATGTGCCCTTTGCCTTCTACATCGAAAAGTCTAAAGATCTTGTCGATTTCCTCCTGCAAGATGGGAAAGGGCACACGTGCACACTTACAAGTAGGCATCGCGCTTCGGCTAGAATCGGTCATCTGCAACGAGTCCTTCGTGTCCTTCTCTTCCTTCCCTTCCTTCCCAGACCTGCGCTCACAGCAACGAACTACTGTCCAGGCTCGCCATCGCAGGACGCAGCCGCCCATCACAAGCCAGAGACCTTTAGACAGCTTCAAACCCTAAACCCTAACCCCTAACCCCTAAACCCTAAACCCTAAACCCTAAACCCTAAACCCTAAACCATGCTGCAGAACTGAGGCACGGGCATCAGATCTAAGAACTCCTCGAAGTCTAGCGAGGCATTGCCATCCTGCCGGGCTAAAGTCCAACATCAGAGCTTGGCAAGGAGCATCGGGCTCTTTAAGGCTTGAAGGGAAAGGGGTTCATGAGGGGTTACATACCTCCCTTGAACCCCCCCCCACCCCTTAAGAATCCATAAACTGGACTAAACTGGGGGAGACCCGGCCCTCACACGTAAAGGGCTTATAAGGTACAGTTTATGTACAGCTATATTAGAAGTACAGCTATAAGTACAGTCATAAGTTATACTTGGTTAACAAGTACCATGAACCTCTAAGTAGCAGTCACTTGCAACACACCGCGGCCTTGTCAAGTTCAGCAAGCATTGTGAAGATCCTGGCCATGGTTCCCTAAACCCTAAACCCTAAACCCTAAAGCCTAAACCCTAAACCCCTAAACCCTAAACCCTAAACCCCAAACCTCTGCCTGGCAACTTGCCTTACCTGTAGCATATGGAGGAAGAACATGGTGAAGGCACGTGTCAGCAGCATCTGGGAAGGCCATTCTGCCACTAAAAGAGATATCCGTGAAGCGGGGCCAAGCAAGAAAACAGGCAGGCGCTACGTGTCATTCTTGCTCTCATATCCCAGCGACTGCATGGCAGCCTGCTTTCACACATCGACTGCTTACCCGCAGCATGGTGTGCTTGATAATCACAAGAACATAGGTTTATGCTGCTGCAACAGTAGCTTGTTTCGTGCCAATCAGTCAGTGTCAAAGGAGACCTGCACAGCTCAAGGGCTTCCTCCTTACAGGCTATATGTCGGGGACGAACCTGCGGGCAAAGCCATGGGCATGGGCTGGAAATGTCGGGCAAATGAATTTTGCCTTGTGCACTGTGCCAAAATCTTGCTGGAGATGCTACTTCGCCCCTCGCACGTGCTGCATCTGGTCGTTCTGAGGAAGCTCGGAAGGCTTCAACGTTCCGACTCCATGCCGGCACTGGCCGCTGGACATCCAGCTCCGTGGATTCTCGGGCTCATCATTCGGTTAGTCACTAGGTTGCCAACTAGGTTGTGCAGAAGCAGCGGGGCAACAACGAGAACTTCGCCAAGCCTTCAGCTCCTTGAGATCTATCGCACCCGACTGATCCGTGTCAAAGAGGTCGAAGGCCTGAGTGTTCACAACTTTCTTTCAATAAGTTCATGGATGACAGCATGTCGGATCAGCTTGTCGACTGCAAAGCGGAGACGCGACGATGCACGTCAGGGCAGCGCATTGCTGCCAAATTTCAACACAGGACATGTCAAGCGCTTGGACCCTGAAAGTTGGCTCACGTTTCTCAACAGCTGGAGTAGGAGGAGGCATCTTCGGACACTCCTCTGTCCGACAGCACCGGCATCTTACGATGGCCTTCCAATGCTTGCAAAGTAGATGCAAGCAAAGAGCATCCTACTCAGGGCGTGCTATGGCGCAGCCGGGAGGTCTAGTGGTCTACTGCTCTCTGTCCACAGCAGGGAGACTCAGTGACCGGAGTTCCTAACAAAAAAAACCTTCAACAGGGAGTTTCGGCCACACTGCTTACTGCAATTCTCGTGGCTTCTCATTCTTCTCTGCCTGCCATTGCACGCCCACCCTCAAACCAGGCAGTGAACCCACTGCAGAGCAGATCTTGGGAATTAAGACTCTGGTTTGGGGGCAGTGCTCAAAAAAGGACAGCCGTGAACAACTACGCCATTCTTTGTTTGTGTTATCTGACACCCAAGAAGAGCCGGTCTGCAGGCGTCCACCTGGGAGGGGACTACGATTACACCTGCTTCGCAGCTGCTTTAAGCCATCAAGAGCAGGCATAAGTGGCATAAGAGCCATATTCCTGGCGGGATTCAAGACGTCCTGCGGCGATCATGGCAAGACGAACTCCTTGTAGTCGACTGGCATCGCAAGGTTCTGTGCGGCTGTGCGTGTGCGGCTGACTTACGGGAACTCGAAGCCATGGATCAAGCTGTGCTAACAAAGCCGTCAACTTGACAAGCTACAACTCAAGCTGCGACAAGCTACTTTTACAAAAGCAGGGTCTCTGATCACAACTCACCCTCGTGCAACACGCAGACCAACGAAGCCGGATGCACGTTCCTCACCCTCGCCGCCACATGTCAACCTGCTTGCAGAATTTCGGATGCTTCTGGCCAAAGCGCAAAATCAGCAAACAGGGCTCAAAGTGAACTCTCCACTCAGTGCTTCGAAGAAATTCGGTCAAACTCGAGGCATCGGTGCAGCTGAGGAGCGGAAAACTCGCACCCACACCGGCCAGCGTGTCAATAGCTCCAATTACCTCGGTCGCTGTTGTAGCTGTCGCACAAGTCGCGAGACTCGCGCACCGCAGCTTTCAGCATGGCAAGGCAAGGCATGGCAAAAGGCTGGCATAAGGGATAGAGCCCAAAAGGACCTTGAATTAGACGTCGTGCTGAGGTCCTCACCTCGAAGGAGGCTGAAGTGCAGTCGCCCTGAGCTTTTTGGGAATCAACTACCCCTAGTTCTGCGCAGCGCAACCGCTCCACTTTGGCAACATCCACAGCGGTGTGCCAGAAAACCCAGCATTGAGCAGACGCACATAGAGGAAGCACCCAAGGCTACTTGACGGCACCTCAGACTGAGGTTGGCACTGCGGGGTGCGCCTTTCCAGAGCCTCTTTAGGTCAGGGATCGGAGAACACAAGCCTAGCTCCGAGGGAAGCTGAGCAAGCTGCACTTCGAAGCCATCGCTGAAAGAAACTGCCTGCGTGAGGCGTGGCGGATGTCAATACGTGCGCATGCCACAAGCCAGCTCTTCGACGCTCACATCTTCAGACAGCTCTGGGTTTTGGAAAGCAACAGTAGCATCCAGTTTTGGGACCTTCAACTCGCATTCCTTTTGCTCGTTCTTTACCTCCACTTGTAGGTAGCAAGAGCACAAAGGTCCGAACATCCCAAGATTTTGCCCTCGGTCCCTGGTTCTGGACGACGGCGTCTCACTGACGCAACCTGTAAGTGCTGAGAGAGCGACCCGGCTCCCATGAAGGAGCCAATGACACCTCCGACACACAGAGTGCTTGGACTTCAGATATTTCGGATGCTTCGGCTCCATCACAGATGTCGCGAGGCAGTCTACGACGAGTCTACGAACATGTCGAGTTGCACGACGGGCGCGCGACGGGTGCATGGCATGCGGCGCCTGTGAGGTCCACGGCGCAAACTTTCTGGCCACCAGCGCCGTTGATCTGCAAGGCTCAGAGGCCCCATCAAGTTCCAGATGCGCTTCGAGCACTGCGCTTCCCATCGGCCCAGCAATCTCCTGTGGCAATGGCAGGCGTACCTTGAAGTTGAAGTCGGTGCAGTCCTTGCATTCCAGAGAGTGCATTAGGGCAAAGCTCCAGTGATTCTGAGAGATGCTTGGGAGCTCTGCCTGGTGCAGGGTCCTAATGAGCCTGATGACATACGTAACTTGTACATTAAGGCTTCACCCGATGTCCTGCGTGCCAGCTTGAATCGCCAGCCCCATTCGTCCCAACACTTGAGCTGCCTGGGCGAGCACTCTTGCTGGACTGCTTGGGCACGCCAGACCCACACAATCAACTCATCTACACATGCGGAGAACTTTCGCAACAAGCGAGTCCTTTCTGAAAGTGGAAACTGGGTGGTGGGCCATGTTGGCATCGAAGACACACTCCGCTATCTCAGCCTTCCTGCCATTTGACAGAGCCTCGCGCTTCCCCAAGCTGGCGTGCGAACAGCAGGCGACCTACTGCAATGATTCGATAAGTTGAGTTGTGGCAGATTCGATTCAGATTTTTGAAGAACTTTGACGCTCAGCGCCTGAAAGTCCACGTCACGAGATCAGGCTGGCTATCATATGGAGGCTTCCGAAAACAAGGGTACCTTCATTCTCTATTACAAGGGAATCCTACTATTTGGGGCACTTTTTAGGGGTCCCTTATGTTCGTAAACCCCATATATTCATGACAGGACCAGTTCCAAGACGTACGCCGGCAGATGCAGCAAGCCTGCTTCCAGAATTCCAGGTCTGCCTGGTCCCAGGACTGTTTCCATACAATCACATTGCAGATGCTTTTTGTACCGGTAGCAGTGACTGGCACATGACTCCTGCCTCCTGTCGGACTTCTACCGGCGAGGCAGGCCTGAGAGAGAGGACTGCGCAGAAAAGCGTGCCTAACTTCGTAATCCGATCCTAACTATTTACAAGGAGTAGTGCCGACTATGACCATGCGCTGAAACTGGGACCAGCGGTTTCCACTCTGCTGCTCTGTGTCCTCTCTGATCTTCCTTCTTCTGTTCTTTCTCGAGTCCTCTCTCGTGGGTACAAAGCCATGGGCATCCTATCACAGCCCTAAACCCTAAACCCCAAACCCCAAACCCTAAACCCCAAACCCTAAACTAAACCCCGGAGCAACCATCCTGTACTTCACTAACAGAGGGCAGCTTCGAGGTCCCCATGAGTCATTCGTCTTTCCTGACGATCCAACTACGTTTTCTGCTTGACCTCGCGGGTTCGCTTCGAAAGCTTAGGGTTTAGGGTTTAAGGTTTAGGGTTTAGGGTTTAGGGTTTAGGGTTTAGGGTTTAGGGTTTAGGAAGGTGCCCTTGAGGGTATTCCAGTGCCAGTGCCGCCATGGCAGCCCTGACAAAACAAAGCTGGCGGTTCTGACTCAAAGGCAGCTTTGCAGACATCCACTCGTTTCGCCGCCTAAGCCTCCAGTTGCTGCCGACCCAAGCGTTCACTACTCGTACATGAGAACCGCGGCACACTGAGACCCTGACAACTGAAACTCACCTTGGCAAGGGGGGTACTATAAACCCCGGGAATAACTTTGAGAGATCTCAACTCACAGAGACTTGGTCGCGTGCTTTGGTTCAAGGCCTGCACCAAACTGCCAACATTGCCATGCACTCCGAGCCGAGCCCCATCTTCTCTGGGGGTTTCCGAAATGAGGGGTACCTTGTTGTGGTCCTTTTTATAAAGGAATCCTACATTTGGGGACCATATTAGGGATCCCTTCCCGAAGAACGGATATGAGCTCCGCTGCGGCATGTTCCCCGATTGTGCAGTCTTGTGCCTGATGCAGTCTCCTGGCTTCGGTCAGGCGCCGCACGTCAATGCCGAGCTCGTCTTTCACCGAGATCCGTAACTGGCCGCGCGAAATGGCACAGAAAAGGCGCTTGAAAGCCTAATCATCTCCCCAAGTTCTGTAGCATGCTCAAGATTACCTTCCAGTTACTGTTGCAGTTTCAAAAATAAAAGAGTTGGGACTTGCACACAAAGCCCTGCCCCAAGAAGGAGCATTGTTACCTCACGGAGTTTCCCAGTGGCCTGTGGGACCCCAAAACGAATGCCAAATCCTGGCAGTAATCTTCTCCTTCCATGTGGCAGAAACCTGCCCTGCTTTGTGGGAACGCCCTGATGAAAAACCGTAATCGAACGTGAGATGCGCGGAATTTGGTCGACCTTGGCCTGATACGACACGGCAAACGATAGACTTCTAGTACAATCTCTCGTTTGTCTCGCTTGCCCAGTTTTGCCCATACTGCAACATACTGCAACCAAAACCATGCGGCATCTGTAAGGCAAGGGCAGCTGATTTCTCGCAGGAGGCATGCATGGACGCACTCGCCACCGCGACGTTTGCCAGAGCAGACACCTGCTGGCAGCTTCATCTGACTCCATGCCCCCGAGCTCCCTTCTTCTTCTTATGATTATTATTATTAGTATTATCATTGTTGTTATTCTTATTATTCTGATTCTTACTCTTATTATTCTTACTGTGATTATTATTAGTACTCTGATTATATATATGTATATATATCTGCTACCCCCCGCCCCCCCCACGTTCAAGAAAATAGATCGGCGAGCATCGATGTTTCCTATGACAGGCTTCAACATGGTGCATTTAAATAACTACATTGTGTAACTCCTGCAGGGGGTGGGGCTTTAAATTGTTTCAAGCGGGTGGGAGAATTAAGTATTTTTTTAATAATGCAATTAATCTAGATAATCTAAATAATCTAAATAATCTCAATAATCTAAATCATCTACATCATCTAAATCGTGAAAGGCGCGGGGGCAGCTCCCCCCTTCTGGGGGGGAATTCAATACTTCAAACATGAGAAGCCCCTATTTAGATATGAAGGCCCCTTCAGATTTTATATTATCCAATTTTATTGCTTCCCCTTGGCGGGAAGGGGCCAGGCCCCCCGCCCCCCTTTCAGGATTTGATTTCTTCAAGTTATTAAAACTATGCGAAATGTAAGAAATATGTAAATGATTTAAATGATTGAATTAAACCCCCTCCCCGAATTAGATAACTTAAATATGAAGGCCTCTGTTTGTATATGAAGGTCCTCCATATTTCATGTATTTAATTCTCCTCCCCGAATTAAGTAAT